AAAATTAAATCTTTACTACAGTTTCCCGCGACTCGAGAGCGGGGCTGCATTGCTGGGGCGGGGGTGGTCCCGGATGGTAATTGATTCATAACTCCGCACCAGGACACCAGGGCACAGCACCCGCGGCTCCCGGAGCATCTCCGGCGCGGGTGCGGGGCTGCAGCTCCGCCCGAGCCGAGCGGTCCCCGCAGCCCGGCCCTGCTTCCCACAAAAATCATCCCTTCCCCTCTCCCCGCTACTCCCCGCCTGGCTACCAGGAGAGATTTTGACTCTCAGACACGTAAACCTGCGCCCCGAAAAAAGTTTCGAGCGGAGCTGCCTGCAATACCTATTTACCAACGAATTACACCGCTATTATTGCTTTCAATGAAGACTGAATCCCCAAGCGGTAATTGAATTAGTCTATTGAAGAGACTGTCAGGTACAATGACGTGGTATATCCCGCGCCTTTCCCAGGGTCTATAGGCTTTGGGGACCCGGAATGTATAGTCTGACCTTACAGCTCATAATAATAATGCTGCACTTGTAGCAGAAATCTATTCGCATTCACTTTTAACAAAACCTCTGGTCAGCCAGTCCCTGTAGGAAGGATGAAATCTATTGTATTAGAACAACTCATTTATGTCCTTCAGCAAAGGCCCCAATGAGATCTGATCTAGACGTAGAAATAGGATTACCACAGCGTATATTAAACACGTTTCTATACTTCCTCCTTCCTATAAGGGCGCCGAGAAAACAAAAATGCGAAGGATTTTTGATCTAATTTTAACTTTATTTTTATTTTCAATTTTAAAACTTCCTTCCCTTGGCGGCCTTCCTCGAAAAGAAGAAAAAGAGAAGAAGAGAAGAAAATGGAAAAAAAATTAAACAAAATAACAAAATAAAGCAAATACAACGAAATCGGAGAAATTATTCCGCCCGGTTTCCGAAGAGGCTGCGGGCTGGCATGGTGAGCAGAGCAGCGCGGCCCCTCCGCACAGCCCGACGGCGGGCACCGGGCGTCCCGGCCCCGCTCCCGGCCCCGCTCCCGGCCCCGGTGCACTCCGCCTCCGGAACGGATCCTCTCCGCCCGCCCCGAGCCGGGATGGCCGACCCAGCCCAGCTGGGGACACCAACCTGCCAGAGACTCAGAGGGCACTTCCGAGGGGCAGCAGAGCGCGGCCCCGGGCCCGCAGCGCCTCCGGGAGCCCTCGGTGCCCCGCAGCCCGTCCGGGAGCCCTCGGTGCCCGCAGCGCCTCCGGGAGCCCTCGGTGCCCCGCAGCCCGTCCGGGAGCCCTCGGTGCCCCGGCCCCTCTGGACGAACCGACGGCTACACCGGAGCGGCCCCCCCGCGACCGCAGCGTGAACGAACGGGGCTCCGCGGGACCGGGCCCCCCGACGGGAGCCCCGAAACCCCCGGCACCCACAAGTTACAGAGGGAACTTTTTCCTAAAAAGGGATTTTTTAAAGCTTCCGTCCTTAAGCCACCGTGTGTAGACATATTACCCCGATTACTGTAACTACCTGCGAGCCAGGGAGTAATATTTATCTATTTAGATATGAAGGGTCGCGATGGAAAAAATACCCAGCCTGGAAATATACATCGTCTTTTCCTTTAAGCCCTCCTCATTCATCCAGCCGATCGCCCACCCCCTCCGCACACAAACCTACTCAATTTATAGAGAAGCCTTTACTATCCAGAACAGTTTCTAGAAGAAGGGAGGACTCCAGATGAAATAATCCCCCTCCCTACACACGCATGTACACACACACACACACACACACATGCACACAGACACACTTCCCCCCCGGGCGTGCTCAGGAAGGCAAATTAAATAGTTAAAGGCTTCGATTTCTCTCTCTCTCCCTTTTGTTACCCAATTTTGGAACATTTAAGGATGGGTGTGTGTATTGTATTCAATAATAAAAGCTATAGGGCCGCCAGGACATTTATCATCCTATTACTGTAACAAATCCGGGCTCCCAATACATGAAAGGTAAAATGAATTACCGACGTTAAGCCGTCAATAAAGTCATTTCTGTAAATGGTGTCTCCGAAGGACTGCAGCATTATTCAACTAGCTTTATCAGCAGCTGGGAAATTACGTGAAGAAGCTCGCAGCGTGTAATATGGCCCTGCTTACTTTGATTAAGCGTCTTGCCAGGGAATAGTGACAGTGCTTTTGACCAGGTTTTATTCGCCGTCCTGTGATGAACGCCAAGCTGATCAGGCGGAATGAAGAGTAATTAAAACCTATAAATTATCTTTTGCAGCCCTTCTCAAGGCGTCTCTTGCAGGAGAGATAAGGCAGCGAGCCCCCATTTACAGCTCTGAAAGGGACCGCGGCTCACAAAGGCTACGTGGCTAAATGGGATATTGATAGTGTCCTAATTAGAATTTAATTAAGTACCCACGCTCGCTTTTGGGATAAAGATTTCAATTTTGCTAACTTAAATATAAATAAACCCAATTTCGGTGCGAGTAAATGATATGATATTGTGAATGCAGGGGGGGTTTAACATTCATTTAATTGCGGATGAAGCTCTTGATTCCAGGGCTGATTGTGTTCTGCCGGCTATTATTTTAGGGGATTATTGTGTGGCTGGAGGTAACAATTCGGTAATGTTTCTCCGGTACAGAAAATAACCGAACGTGCCTCGGAGGTGCGGGCACACTCGCGCCTCCCGGGGAGCTGCTGACGGACACCCAGCGATGTCTCCTTGCATTCCCGGTGCTGGTCGGCCCCTGGAAGCGGAGCCGCGGGCCGGGCCGCTTCCCCGGGGCTGCTGCGGGGAGGGCAGAGCTCCGGGCCGGTGCAGCACGGCGGGGCGAGGTGGAGGAGGCTCGTTGCGCCGAGGTGCGGACAGCACAGACACAGAGCTATGGGTGCATTTTGGGCCCGGGCACGCACAGGATCCATAGGCGGCCGCAGTGAATGGCCCGGCCCCGCGGAGAGGCGCGGAGCGGTGCGCGGGGCCCCGCGGCCCCACCGCCACCCGGCCGCCGCTTTGGGGAGGGGGTACACGGGGGCTCGGTTAAGTCAGAACGGGAAAAGGCCCGGAATTGCCCTTCCCGCAGCTCCGGGACTCGGCCGCGGGCGGGAGAGCGGCTCCAGCCGGAGCAGGTGCCTGCGGCCGGCCGGGAAGCGCTGCTGCTCCGCCCGGGGCTCCTCCGCTGTGTAAAATGCGGGGTGTGGTGGGACCCCCATCCGCACTGCTCCTCCGTGTGAGCACAGCGCTGCCCTCACCGCAGGCACTCGGCTCCCGCGGCCGGGAGCGCCCGGGGCCAGGCGGGAGACACCGGCGGCGGCAGAGCCGCTCTCAGAGCGCTTGGCTGCGGCCCCAGCAGTCCGGCAAAACCAGAGCTGGGATCACGGTATTTCTATTTATTTTCTGTACATTCATTTTTAGTTGTATCAATCCTGAAAAAGAGGCTTTTTCTTCCCATCTCTTAAAATCCTTAAATTTTCCTCAACACACGTCACGAAGTGCTCGTTCCGTGCCGGGCAGAAAACACCAAAACAAAACCAAACAAGAATACCAGGGGGAAAAAAAAGCAACAAACCGAAACCAAACAAACAAACAAGCAAACATCAAAAAGCAGACGAGGAGACATTATACGAGTTCAGCTGTGAGCCGGAGCTGATCTGCTTCGTATTCCGAAAAACCCCCAAACCCAGTAAAGAAACAAATCAGAGAGAGGCTTCGGCCGTAAGACCAGCCCGTCCCGGCAGTGCCTCCTGCCTCTATTGCTATTTATTTTTGTTATTATTGTTATCATCATTACTGTAATTTTTATTCCTCCAAACCAAAAAAGGTTCGATTCCAGGGAGCCTCCACCCGGCTCGCCATCTCCCCGCGCTGCGGGGAGAATAGAAAGCAAAAAGAAAAAAAAAAAAAAAGGGAAAAGCGCACAGATTTGGAAGAGGGCGCGTTTATTATCTCTGGGACAACAGCAAAGCGGCCGCTGACCGAATCCCCGCCACCCGTGGAGGACACGGCGTGGCTGGAAGTTGTTGTTGACGGGGCTCGCAGGGGGCCGGGGAGGAGGGGGGGTCCCGGTTCCCGCGCGTGGGCGCGGCGCGCTGCCCCCGCCCCGTCGCGGCGCTGCCGCTGCTGCCGCTGCCGCCCGTCCCGTCCCGTCCCGTCCCGTCCCGTCCCGTCCCGTCCCGCCCGGTGCCGTCCGCCCCGTCCCGCCCGGTGCCGCCCGCCCCGTCCGGTCCCCACGCGGTATTTATGGCGGCGGCCCGGCGGGCGCCCATTGGGCGCGGCGCGGGGTGTCAGCGGCGGCGGCGCCGCGCCATTGGCCGCCCCCACGTGCGGGGCCACCTCACGTGCTTCCGGTGCGAGTGAAAAAAGTGTGGCTGAGGGATTTTTTAGGGAGAGTTTGGTGCACGGACCGGCGCTGTCAGAGATTTGGCTTTTTTTTTTTTTTTAAGGAAAAAAAAAAAAAAAAAGGAGAAGGGAAAAAAAAAAAAGAATTAAAAAAGGAACCCTAAGCGGGCGCGGGCGGCGCAGCACCGGGCTGACGGGGACGGGCTCCGGCAGCCCGCGGCGTGGGCAGAGCGGAGCGTGACAGCGGGGCAGCGCGGAGCCGCCGCGGCGGCGGCGGCAGGGAGATGGGCAAATCGTGACGGGTTTTCGGGGGGCGGGTTTTTTGGGGGGGCCGTGGTGCAGCCGCACACCTTTTTGGGTTTTTTTTTTTTGGTGTGGTCTTTTTTTTTTTTTTTTTCTTTTGGTGGTGGAAATATAAGCTGATCGGGAGAAGGGGGAGAGAAGCCCTCCAGTATCTCCCAGGTTTTGGATCCATCCGTGAGAGGGAGAGAAAAAAAATCTCAGCTCCAGCCCAACAAGTGGATTTTAATATTTTTCTTTTTTTTTTTTTCTTTTTTCTTTTTTTTTTTTTTTCTGAATTTTTCCTCCCCCTTTTCCACCCCGCCACCCACCGTCAAAGTGGGGTGGGCGTAAAGTGGGTGGGTGGGGGGGAAAAGAGGCAGCGATCTCCGTGGCGGGGACTGAGCATGGAAGAGCCGCCGGAGGGGCACGGCCACCGAGACGCGGCGCCCGGCCCGGCGAGCAGCGGCAGCGGCAGCGATGGCGAGAGCGTGCCCGTGTCCCCCAGCCCCGCGCCCGCCTCCCCCGCCGCGCCCTGCCCCCTGCCCCTGCCCCGCCGCCGCCACCCGCCGCCGCCGCCGCCGCCCCCGCCGCCGCCGCCCCACCGCACCACCAACTTTTTCATCGACAACATCCTGAGGCCGGACTTCGGCTGCAAGAAGGAGCCGCCCGCGCCGGCCGGCGGCGGAGGAGGAGGCAGCCGGGAGCGGGACGGAGATCGGGGGCAGAGCTCAGGTAGAGAAAACGTCAACCCGCTGCTGGCCCGGCCGCCCAACCCGCCCGCCCTCCTGTGCCCGGACTCGAACTGCCGTCCCGACGGCTCCGCGCCGCCGCCGCCGCCCGCCGCCGCCGCCAAAGCCGGTCCCGCCGCGGCAGCAGCGGCGGCGGCGGCGTCGGGGGCGGCCAAGGCCCCCGCCGACGGGGGCGAGACTCACCCGGCGAAGTACGGGGAGCACGGCAGCCCCGCCATCCTCCTCATGGGCTCTAATAATGGAGGACCTGTTATAAAGCCCGACTCGCAACAGCCGCTGGTGTGGCCTGCCTGGGTCTACTGCACTAGGTATTCAGACAGACCGTCCTCGGGTAAGGAACCGCGGCGCATCTGGGAGCTGTTAAATCGTGACAAGGTCGCCCGCCCCCCCCCTCCTTTCCCTCTTCCCCCCTTGGCTTTGGCTCCCGGCTTGTCGAGGACCTCGCGTGGGGGGGAGGGCGGCCTGGGTCACCCGGGGCGAGAGGAAACGCGTCCCCCCCACCGCCACCACCCCTCCTTCCTCCTCCGAGTCTCCCAAATTTGAATGTGACGCCGGGCCCCGATTCGGCAGCGGTTCGATGCGGAGAGCCGGCGGGAGCGACCCCTTCCCGCGCCCCCACCCGCCCCGCCTGCCGCAGCCCCGGGTGTTCCGCGGCGCGGCCGCGCGGGGTGAGAGCGTTGGGAGAAAAAGGCAGCGGGGTCGGCCGCTCCCTTGTTCTGAGGCTTTTTCTCCCCTTACTTTATTTTATTTTTTTTTCCTGGGTGCTCCTGGAGGCACATGTTGAGGGGCTGCTGGCGGTGCGGGGGGAGGAGGTAGTGTTTTCTTGGAGGCGAAGGAAAAAGGGCTTTATCGAAGGTGGCGGAGGGGCTGTTTAGCCGGGCCTCTGCAGCAAGCCAGGCAGGCCCTTAGGCCGCGCATTGCCGCCCGAGCCGCTGCGTTCGGGGCCCAGCTCCGGGGTGGGGACATGCCTCTGCCCGAGGTCGTCCCCGTGGGAGCCGCCGCCTCGGCCCTCCCGGCCCTGTTTTGCCGCCCCTTCTACTTTACATTCCCCAGGTGCCCTCAGGCACCCCTTTATTTATCACCGTTACTTTTTGGTTTTCATTGCCTTTTTTTTTTTTTTGAAAGAAACCGAGGATGAGGAGATGGGGCTCCCCCATGACACCTCCAGCCAGCAGCCAGGGATCGGCCAGTGCGGTGCGGGGCCGGGCTGGGCTCCCCTGTGCCGGCCCGGGGCCGCTGCATTGCGCGGGGAAGGCGGCGCTGCCTGGCCCCGGCCCCGCTCCGCACTGCCCGGCCTGGTGCTCCGAACCGGCCGTCAGCGCGGCCGAGCCGTCTCCATCCCCCGTTATTGACACGTCCAGCGACTTCAAACTCAGAAAAGCCTCTTTGATTGACTGGGCTGATTGATGGGGTGATAGAGCTGTCAGACGGCACGGCCTCGCTCCCGGCCGGCCCGGCCGCGGGTGTTGTGTTGCCGATTCCCAGGGCCACCGAGCGCCCGGCGTTCTGCACTTGCGCCTTCATTTCCTTTCCTCCCCTTTCTTCGGGCAAAGGATCATTTCTGCATGTCCTCCTCCCCGACGCTCCCTGCTCGCTGCGACCCGGAGGGGAGAAGGGCGAGGGGAGGCTGGCTGGGCTCGGCCGCTCTCTTTGTTGTGCTCGTAGCTGCCCGCCGGCCCCGACTGCTTCTCTCAGCTCCGGGGACGAGCGGGCTGCGGCGGTCGGAGGCGCCGGCACCCCGCTGCAAGGTGCCGGGACTCAGCAATGCACTCCCCGCGCCCTCCACCCCCCGCCGGTCCAGCCCGGGAGAATCCCGCTGGGCCCCGTCCCTCTCCCCACCGGGCCCCGTCTCTCTCCCCGCCGACAGCCGGGGGGAATCCCCCCGTTCCGGGGAAGAGCTGCGCCGGGAGAGGAGCTTTCGGCCTACTCGGCGGCAGGGAGGCCTCGCCGGCTTCGGCTCCGGCTGCTGCTGGCGGGGGGCTGCGAGCCTGGGACCGCCCGCCGAGCCCGGCAGCTGTCGGGGAATTTTCGTAGATCCCATTCTTCACGGTTCCCTCCCCGCTTCTCTTCCCCGTGGCCGGGCCAGGCCGGGAGTACCCCTCCTCCGCCCGGCACTGCCCTCAGAATGCGCCCCGGGACCCGGTGGCTTGCCCGGCGAGCTGTGTTGCACTTCAGCTGGCCCCTTTGCGGCCTGGATGTGGCTCTGCTTGTGGCTGGGCTTCGGAGGGAGCAGCGGAGGGAGCTGCAAGCGGGGCCGTAGGTCCCCGGCAGGGATCGGCCGCCGGAGCAGGCGACCCGGGCGGTGTCGGCGGGGCTCCGGGGTGGCGGCGGAGAAGGGCGCCCCGGGAGTGGGCTGGCTTTGCGGAGAGGGTCGTTGTCCCCCGAAAGGAGACCAGGGCAGCCTCCTGCCAGGCTGCTGCTGCGGGCGGCGGCTCCTCGGTGCCCGGCAGCGGGAACCTTCGGTCCCTGAGCTGCCCGGCGAGTCGCTGCCCGGCCGGCAGGCCCCAGTCCCGGGCCATACAGGAGAGTGGCTCGGCCCTGCAGGGCTGGCGGAGCGGAGCCCCGACGTGTGCCGGGACAGGGGGCAAGCGGGGTTCCGCTCCCCTCGCCCGCGGGGCCGGCTCCGCGGGGCCGGGGCAGTGGGTGATGCTCGGGCGCGCTCGGCCCCGGCCTCCCCGTTCCTTCCCCATCCTTCCCTCCGCCGTGCCGGGGCGGCGGTGCCGGGCTTGGGGGGCTGGGGAGGGGACACACGGAACCAGCACAAATTCACCCGTCAGCCATTTTTCCTCGGCCGGCGGGGCGGGGGCGGCGGTCGGTCGGTGTGTCGGGCGGGCGGTCGGTCGGTCGGCGGCGCGGCCCTGCCCAGCGGCGTGTGTGTGCCCTGCCCGCAGGCCCCCGCACCAGGAAGCTGAAGAAGAAGAAGACGGAGAAGGAGGACAAGCGGCCGCGGACGGCGTTCACGGCCGAGCAGCTGCAGCGGCTGAAGGCGGAGTTCCAGGCGAACCGGTACATCACGGAGCAGCGGCGGCAGAGCCTGGCCCAGGAGCTCAGCCTCAACGAGTCCCAGATCAAGATCTGGTTCCAGAACAAACGGGCCAAAATCAAGAAGGCGACGGGCATTAAGAACGGGCTGGCGCTGCACCTCATGGCCCAGGGACTCTACAACCACTCCACCACCACGGTGCAGGACAAAGAGGAGAGCGAGTGAGGCGGGCGGCCCCAGCCCAGCCCTGCGCCGCGGCGCCGGCCCGCCGGCCGGGAGGCGGACAGGTGCGATTTAAAAGCAGATCTATTGTCTATCCATAGTATAAGGACTCCGATTAAGAAAAAAAAAAATATGAACACTTAAGAAAAATTATCTCTATATAGCCAAACAGCATATGACCTTGTATATATTTAATTTCAGGTAAGAAATATGTGTAGCGATCTCTATTTGCTGGACAGTTTCTCTCTTCCCTTCTCTCTGTTTCTCCTTTCTTTTGTTCGTTTTGTTCGTTTTGTTTGCTTTCCTTTTTTTTCTTTCCCCCCCCCATGTCCGTTGCTCCTGTTTTACAGTAAATGTCGGACTTTTCTCATCTGTCGTTTGATCTTACTTTATTTTATTTTTTTGTGTGTGTGTGTGTGAATTTCTGTCTCTCTCTTTTTTTTTTTCTCCCGAGGAAAAAAAATTCCGATCCACAGACTGCGAGACTGAACCCGCCGCTACAAGCCAAAGATTTTATTATGTTCAGAAATCTGTAGTCTGAAATAAAGTGTAGACTGTGTTCAGGATCCAGGCTGGCTGTAATTCTTTATTTTAGTGTATGGATGTTTGCATATATATATATATACGTAAAAATATAATAAATAAATGTATATATACATACACCATACGCTGTGTACATAGTGCCATTTTGGTGGCATATTTAGGTTTTGCTTTCGATAGATTCAGCAATTTTTAAACTACTCATCCCTTGTTTAAAACCCTTAGACCTTCGATTTTTAAAAAATTATTTTTAATTTTTCTACCCTTTAAAAATAATTAGTTCTCTTTGGTAATTGTGGTCATGCTTCACCTCCCGCATCTCCCTTTTTAACCAAATTAAAACCACCTCATAATAACGATGATACAAGTTCCCACTGAAAAATTGCCTGAAATTGTCTGGATGCTTAGGGCTCCGGGATGTGTTGGAAGGATATTTGTCTGACAGCTCCTCGCCTCTCTGCGAGAGGATCTGCTCCCGTGCTGTTTGCAGCGGGGACCTCTCCCGAGGCTCGGACCGGAGCGATCGGCACTCGGCGCCGGGCGCTGCGCCCTCGCTCCGGGAGCGCTCCCGGTGCGGGTCCGTGCGCTCCGCTCCCCCGGCAGGGCTCGGGCTCGCGTTTGCCGTGGGAGAGCCGGCGGCACGGCGGAGCTCCGGGGGCCGCGGCCCCGCTCCGCTTTCCCTCCCGCCCGCCCGGTTAAAAGCCGGCCGTGCCCAGTCCCGGCTCGGCTCTCTTGGCCGCCGGCCGGGGCGCACGGACAGGACCGGGCCGTGCCCACGGCCTTGTCCCCGAGCCGTCGAGGATCGCCGGGCCCGAGCCCACGCGGGCCTTGCGTGGGGCCGAGCCGAGCCGAGGGCAGGCGACGGGATTCCCCTCCGCACTGACCCTGATGGAACCGGGCACGGCGGCGGGTGAAGAGCCGCCCGTCCCCCTCCACCAGGCCGTCTGTCGGCTTTCCTTCTCCTCTTTCTGCTGCTCTCTATCCCTGCCCTAGGCCCGCGGCCGGCAGGGCGAAGAGGACAAGCGAGCAGAGCTGGAGCCGGGGGATGGACCCTTTCTCCTGCATCTCCCCGGAGGATGGGGCGATGCCGAGGCCGTGCCCAGGTCAGTGGGACCGGGGGGGCGGGAGGGGGCAAGCAGCAGCACTCTCGGTCGGCGGAGCCTGCAGCTCCCCCCTCCTCGTCCCGTCGGAGGCATTAGGGGTTTTCTGTCGATTTGAGAAGGGCAGCAGTGGGGATGATGGCTTCTGCCATTTTCGTGCTTTTTAACTTTTCCTGCTTAGAGCTGCGGTTTGCTATCACCGAGGATGGAGGCGCAGGCTGGGGAGAGAGCCCCCTGCCCTCCGTGCCCGTTGCCGGTGGGTCAGGACCCTTCCTACACCTCATCCCACTCCAACCTACCCCAGCGTATCCCACCCCATCCCCGCCCAGCCCAGCCCGCCTCTGCCCGCCGAGGGCTCTTCTCTCTGCAGGCCGAGGAGCCAGGAATACTCGGAGGGCTTAAATAAATGTTGTACAGCGCCATCTAAAGTTGTGTATTTCTTTCTCTCTCTCTCTCTCTCTTCTTTTTTTTTTTTTTTTTTTTTTTTTTTTTTTTTTTTTTCCGATGGGATTGGAACGTGAACTCAAATCTTCCGCACTGAGGAAAATAAAGCCGTCCTTCAAAGTGCGAGTTCCACCGCTCGCGGGGAAAGTGGTCGGCGAGAGCCCGGACCGGCGGGGCAGCTGCAGAGTTCGGGGGCCGCGTTCAGGCTCCCCCCGAGGCCCCCCTTCAGTGGCCGCTGTCGGGGGCGCACGGGGAGATTGCTCCCCTCCTCCCGCCCGCTCCGCTCTCAGTTCAATCCTTTGCCTTTGCCATACGCGCCGTCTCGCACTCCCCTGGAGCTGGACAGGCCAAAAATGGCATTTCTCCTTAAAAATCGAGTAACCATCCTCCCCAAGAGCATTCCTGGGCCGGATCTGGCCCGGACCTGCCGAGGGTAGAGGGTACCGACCCGCTTGGCTTCGCCTGTCCGCGGGACACGGGTGATGCTCGGGCCGGCTCTCGGCGTGGGTCGGGCAGGGCTGTCGGCCCCTCCTGCCGTTCCCCCCTCGCCAGACCCGGGACCTGCTGCCCACCTGCGGCCGGGAGCCGGCTCCGGGGTTGCCCGGAGGCCTGGGGGCTCCAGAGGAGGAGGAAGATGAAGAAGAGTTTCCTCCGCCGGAGGTTGGTCAACCAGACTCATCTGAGCTGGACAAGTCAGGAATAAAGCCGACGAGGGAAATATAGGGCAGATTAAAGGAAACCTAAAGAGGATTATTTAAACAAATCAGACTTTTTAGTGTAATTACGGTGTTAGGATTTCTCATGGAGAGCCTTGAGCGGGGCACATTGGTGAATCCGTGCAGGCCGACGAGGTTCAGGTCTGTCCTCGCTGGCTCCACCAGTGACCTCGGTCCCCTGTGGGTGCCGAGGACAAACAGGTCCACGGGGAACGGGGGGGAAAACCTTCACCCGGGGCCCAGCACTGAGAAATAGGAGCAGAAGGCGCAACATCCTCCCCTTAGGGAAGGGACCAGGTGTGCGCGGGGCGGCGGGGCAGGCGAGGGACGCGCACCGGGCCCCGGCCGGGGAGGAATGCTGAGCGCTGGGCGGACGGGCGGGACTGGGGAGCCCAAGTGCCAGGACCAGCACCCGCTAGCCCAGGCGGAAAGGCCTGGAGGCAAAGCACCACCCTGCCCCTCCTTCCTGCGTGCCCCGGGGGTCTGTTCCCCACAGCCCGGCTCTCGGGAGGCCGCCGCGCCTTTGTGGGATGTGAACATCAGTGAACCCCCCACAGATACCCCCAGCACCCCCGTCCTCCCTCTGCTGGCGGAAGGACGCACCGATGCTTATTTCTCCATCCAAGGCACCCCTCGAATCGGTCACAATCATTCCAGGCCCCCGGCCCCGGCCCGACGACCACCCCCTGGCGGGCTGCTGATTTGCATATGCAAATGAGGCACGGGGGAGGAGGGGAAGGCCACGCGTGGTCCCCCCCGTCGGTTCCCTCCGGCCGGGGCACAGATCCCGCTGCCTCCTGTCACGGAACTTGTTCCTTTGTGCCGCCTTTCGAGGAATCAAAGCAGACACGGTTGTGACACGTAGCCCGGAGGGTCAGAGGTCAGATTTCACAATCCCAATTACAATGATTTCTAATGATGTTTATCTTGCGGGTTCCGACGGCTGGGAGCTTTACAAGAGAGCTCCGCTGCCCTCCCCTCTGCTCGGAGGCCCGTGGGTGCGGGGGGCTCTCGGCTCTGGCCGGGGGCAGATGCGCTTCCCCCGGGCACGGAGCGCCGCGTCCGCCCCGCCGAAGGGCGCTGGGAGCCGGACGGCGGTGCCGGGGGTCGGAGGCCGGGAGTCCGGCTCTGGGCTCCCTCCTTGCTTCCCTACGGTGGTCGAGGCCACGGCGGAGTTAAGCGAATGAATAGCACAGTGGTTTACAATGAATACTGCCAGACACCCACCTCTCCTCTCCCTCCCCGTCGGGCAAGGTCCGAGGCAGCGCTAGCGAGTGACGGAGCGGAGGTAGGAGCTCTGCCCGTCCACCATTTGTCCGGATCGGTGGCGGCTGTGGGGCTGTGGGCACCGGCCGTGCCCCGGTCACCCTCCCGCCCTGAGCCGCGTCCGAGGCCGCCGGAGGAGCCCCGGGGGAGGCGGCGGGCGGTGCCTGCGGGAGCTCCCTCCGAGCCCGGAGAGGCTCCTGGCAGCGGGGGCACGGCCCAGAACCCCTCTCAGCCCCAGGGCTCCCACTTCTTGTCGGCGAACCGGTTCGATGTAACTTTTATTTTGTCTTACAAAAAATAAACGCAGAGCGGCGATCGGATCAAAACACAACTCAAATGGTTTCCTTTTAAATCTAAAACCGTTTTGAAAAAGATTTGTCGAATGGCCAAGGGCTGAAACTTTGAAAAAAGGTAATAAATGTTGAGTAAAAAGAAAAATCTTAACTTTTCTTCTGTTGGGGAGTTGGACACGTAGCACCCGAGCTCAGCCTCGGGCTGGCTGTTGACAGAAGCGCGCAAGGTGCATCTTTATGCTCTACATCAAACGCCTTTGACACAGACTTAAAAAAGTCTATGTAAAGCAGCTAATGGTGCTCGCTCTTCCGGCTGAGTAAGTCGGGGAACCAGATTTTGCTGGAAGTAGAAGCCCTTTGCTCTGAGAACTGATCTTTACTGCATCAGGTGAGCGACCCTTACATTAAAAAGACTTTTCTTGTTTGTTTTTGGCCGCTTGATCAGTTTGGAGATAACGAAGATGCGAATAAAAACTTTGGTGGCTGCGGCAGCGGCAGCAGAGCCGTCGGGGGTGGGGTGAGGAGGCGAGGGCTGCGGGACCCGGGGCGCTGCGGGCCTGGGCCGGGCCGGTGCCGGTGCCGGTGCCGGTGCCGGTGCCGGTGCCGGTGCCGGTGCAGACGTGGGGGCTCCGCGGGGTGGCGGG